GAGACCGCTGCATCCGCATCTGGAGTGAGTATATGAGTTCCATCAAACCAAAAACCCTCTTTTCACACACGAACGAACGCAAGCTAACAGAAGACAATTAACAGGCGCAGCCTCAACCTTCTCAACCCTCACTTCCTGGACGACGTCCTGGTCTCTCAAGACCCATGGTCCACGCCCACCAGCTCCTCACGCCTTCTCCAACTACTGCCAGACAAAAAGCTCGTCGATGCCTTACAAAAGAAGTGGGACTCGTCACCGCACCGCTCCAGCGCGCAAAAGTGGTCCGACATTGACGCGCTCGCCTCATCCGGCAATCTCTCCACCCTCAATCCAACGACGCTCGTCGAAGCCAAACAGGACATCCGCCTGGAATACACCTACCCTCGACTGGATGCAGAAGTCAGCAAGAAACTCAACCATCTGCTCAAAAGCCCGTTCGTAGTGCATCCGGGCACGGGTAGAGTGTGTGTGCCCATTAACGTGCGGGATCTCGCGGCATTCGACCCGCTCGAAGTGCCGACCATACAGACCCTGTTGGCCGAAATCGACGCCTGGGAGAGCGTCAAGGGAGAGGAGGGGCCGGAAGAGGAAAGGGAGAGGATGCAGGATTGGCAGAAGACGAGTTTGCGCCCGTATGTAGAGTATTTCAGGACGTTTGTGAATGGCTTGTTGAAGGAGGAGATGAGTGGTGTGAAGAGAGAGAGGGACGAGGTGGGCGATGGTATGGATTTTTGATCGGTTCTTTCACTAATGACTGTTGATGCTGTGGCGCAATTGGGAGATAATATGCTATGTGTTGTCTTTAGGATGATGGTTGGGGGGGGGGCGTTTTCTGAGAGGCAGTAGCGAGTTTGGATAGATTAGTATGCTGTAGGTATGATCATGAACTTCTGGACCTTGTTCCTCCTGAAACTTTATTCGTATTACGATATCTCGTCCTTGCCACGGCATGCACGATCCTACGTTGAGCAGCCCATCTCATCCGTGTGTGTGTCTTGATCTGAACCGTGTTGACTCTTCTCTGGCGCTCAGCGGTGGTTGTAACGAGATAGGGAACTCGTTCAGCATTAGAATCTCTGATGACTGTGTAATGTGTTTTTGGCGCTGGATAGTAGTGGATCGGCTACTTTAACTGATCGAGAGCTACTAACTTGTGTCAGGGATCTCATGCTTCCAAACGCATAACAACCTGTCGTAAAAGCTCGTCGAGATGAATGTCTTAGTATCGGAGTGCCCAGGCTGCACGTCGCTGCCGTAGTTCATGCTCTTGTGCTCTTCGAACTTTGCCAGCACGTTGAAAGTCCACACATCCGACTGGTCTCTTCGCAGCTCGACAATGCGGGTGCCTGCGTGCATGCAGCTTGCAAGGACGACATACCTAACCCTCCTGTTAGCCATCTAGCCTCGACAGGTTGGCAAGCGCTTTGAGCGCAAGAGCAACGGCTCACCTTCCCTCCTCATCACCATGCCACAGACTCTTCAGCCTCCATACGCCACCATCCAGGTTCATCTCCGCCAACACTTCCCTGCGTCCCACATCTGGCGTTCTGATCACACGTATATGGTCGTCGTAGCTGCCCGTGACAATCACATTCTTCTCAAGCGGCAAGATCGCCGTTACACCCGCGCCGTGGATCTTGCGATCACACCACACAATCCGGTCTTCATCGTCCGGATTCAGCGTACTGCTGAACCTCAGCGCCGCGTCATCGCCACCCGAAAGCACGCCCTGCCTCCCCGGCCCACCTGGGAACGCAAGCGTCCATGCTTCCAGGTCATGCGTTACCACCGCCTCACTAATCTCGTACCCGCTAACCGCAGGCTGCAGATACAAGACGTAAACGCAGCCGTTTGAGCAGGAAATCCCGAGACAGGAAAACTTGGTCGCACACCACTCTACTGCGAGGATCAGAGTACCGTCGTTGTGCAGGGAGAATGTCTGCTTGTGGACGAGTTTCGGCGTGCTTGAGCTGATGTCGAGATGGAAGAACATGAGATCACCGGTCGAAGTGCCGACGGCGAGGAGGTTGCGGGATCTGGGTGTCAGAGCATGAAATTTTATATCCAGGATAGCGGAGTCGATGGGCACGGTCTGGAGGTGCTGTCTGTACCATGCGTGGTCTTAGCAATGGATGTGACTTTCATGCCACAGCTCGTCCCAGTAGACACGGACTGATTGCTCAAGAGGCAGATTCTTAGGAAGACTTCTTGACTCACGGTTCGTCATCCTTCAACCTGAACAGCTCCAGCGTGCCCGTTCTCTTCTGGCCTTTGCCGGCTGAACTCAATGCAGCCTCGTCTTCTTCATCCTGCTCTTTGCGATGGAGAAAATACGTCCCCACTACGAAATATTCCGGAAATTGAGAGAAGACTATACAGCTCGGTGGCAGATCGAGCTGTAATGACTTTCCTGATTTGATCGAAGCCATGGGTTTCGGAAAGGTATTCGAATTACTGGTCTAGGAATGGTGGAGAGTATATAGAAAATGAAGTCTTTCATTCGCAGCCCGTGCGCACGGCTATACCAATCATGGAAACATTCAGGCACTATGGATGGCATGTACTCTTTGTCCGCCTATACATAAGAAAAACGCGGGTACCAGACTCAGGATTACATAGAGTAGGTTGTACATTAGTTGAAAAAGAGCCTGATGAACCCAGGAGTTACCGGTCATCATTCCTACGCCTTGACGCTTTTGACGAAGAGCATTACCAGGACTACTGCAACGTCTGAATACACATGAACAGGTATGACCATGTAATCACAAACCATCCAATCAGATCTACCGCATCGGCTTTGTTTTCTCCTTCGATCCATCCTCCACGACCACTTCTTCAACCGCCAGCTGCTCCCTTTTCTTCTCCGTCCGCGAAACCATATACGTCAAGCCGGCCGTCCAGAGGGCCATTGCGATCGAACAGCCTATCATTGCCCACATACCACGCGTGAACCTCGGTGCAAAGTTCGCGGAGTAAAAGATGATACTCCACCAAGCGTTGGTAGCATTGCTGAAAGCGTTCATGCTCGCGATGACCACGGCTCGAAGACTGTCCTCCTCATATCGTAGAGCATCATTTGCCCATGCGAAGAAGGTCGCTTGACCTGTATAGAGAGTCAGTTCGACTGCATCGCCGAGCAAGAGCTAATGAAGGACTTACAAGCGTACACGGCGCCGGCCCAGTAATATGCCGCAAACGTCGATGCAGTCGTGGCACTCGGCGCCAGGATCATAGCGGACGTCACAATGCCCGTAATGCCGATCCAATATCCGACGAGGTACCTTTTGCCGCCCAGGAAATCCGTGAGAGTGGCCCAGAAGAGCGTCGACACGATACCCACGGCGGGCACACCGGTGGGCCAATTGTTGAGCTGCGTGACCGTGTAACGGCGCTCCGTGTGCGCCTTCATGTAAAGGGCGAGCAGCGAGTTCGATGAGAAGGACTCCGTCTCTCCTGCGATGACCCACAGCATCACAAAGCCGTACCAGTACCAGGACGTGAATACTCGCTTGGCGAACGCGAGGTTGAAGACCGCGCGTTCGGGGTGCTCTGGCACACGGGAAACGGCGAGTCTGCGCTCTGCGGCGGAGAGATAGGGCGCGTTGGTGGTCCGGGGCGTGTTGGGGAAGAGAAGGTAACCGTACAGGGCGACCGGTATACAGAGGAGTCCGTCGATGATCTGCCTGGATCAGTATGGAAGATGACGAGGCAGTGTCTTGAACAGGCTGTCGGCTTAATGACCGACGGCTTCTCGCACAGCTTGTCTGGCAAACCACGATGAGAAGCATGATTGGAACGTACAAAGAGCCATCGCCAGCCCGCCAGTCCCTTCAGTCCGTCCATCGAGGAGTGTATGCCAGTCTGGATGAACCCTCCAATCATCGTGCCTGCCAGTCCACTAGCCGTGAAGATACCGCTACGCTTGCCAAGCTCACGTTCCGTGTACCTGGTGGTAGAAGTTAGAAAGGAACATTGTGACAGTATCCCACGGCACACTTACCAGGAGCCAAGAATGTAATGCGTGCCCACGAAAGTACTCGACTCGGCCAGAGCCTGAAAAACCGAATCGCCATGATGGATTGTGGGTTGTGCGTAGCAGCAGTGACCATAGTCAATGCTCCCCAGACCACCATCATGGAAGGGAAGAAGATCCGTGGTTTGATGTAGTAGAGAGCGATGTTGCTCGGAATCTGTCCGATGACATAGCCTGGAGCAATTAGCTACAGCTCTGCTGCCCAGTCTCACATCTCATCATTACCGCAGGTAAAAACAGTGTTGATCTGTGTCAGCTGATTGCCCTTGAAGTCGAGATCCTCTTTCATGCCTGATACATATGCATTGGTGAGGTTGCTTCTGTCGAGCTGCGCTTCGACATCAATGCAGGCTCGAACTATGCTCTCGGTTCAGACCTACGTAATTCAAGAAGTACATCAGACAGCAAAAGGTCAAGATGAAGAAGTCCAGCTTCTGGACAAGCTTCCTCTCGCCCGGCGCTCCCTCTCCGGGGCGGAGGTAGTCTTTCAGGCTTCTTGACGTGGTCATGTTGTACCAGCCTTGCGGTGTGCACTTGGTTTGCTCAAGGTATCTAGTGCTTTGGCGGCCGTGATGACATGACCTCCGAAGTTGAATAGAGCGGACACAATGTCGCAGTGATTCTGAAGCAGTCGGCGCCAAGGCTGGTTATCTTGTACTTGACAAAGGTGCGGGCAAGCCCGAGTAGCTATCACGGCGGATTATCTTGCATGCATTCGATCTATGGATAACTGCAGCCATAGATAGCATGTGGACGTTGCCGAAGCCGGACAAAGAGAAAGAAAGCGGAAGAGGAGGTTGGCCGAGCGTTGGCCGAGATCTGCTGACCTCCCGGAACCTACCACGACTCGAATGACTTTGTGCACTCGAGCTGTCTTTCCTTGATCTGTCACGGTTTATGCTGGCAGCCTTGCAGGAGCAAAGGACGCTAGATGCCTATGAGTCTTGTTGTCCAGAGACCAAAAATGTGGACTAATAGGGGATCGAACCCTAGACCTTCCGCACACGATTGACTCTCAATGCAAAGCGGACGCGCTACTATTGAGATGTTAGTACATGTAACTCAAAGACATTCCAGACCATAAACGAACCCACTGCGCCATTAGCCCCAGAACGGGATGTCTCTTAAAGGTTGTGGTTTGGATGTATATACTATACTATTGAAGTGAGAAAGACGCCTGGTGTGAAGCGTTCGTCTGGAAATCCTGTCGATATGAATCGTGTTCAAAGCGTCAAGCGGCCTAGATAGCTCGAGCATCATTAACTCAACGAACCGCCTAGACACGATGTGCAACTTACTAGCGAAAAGGATCCCACACACTCTTGGCAACAGCCCAGATCTCCCCGGCCAGGAAAAAGGTTTCAGTAAACTCAATAGGAAAAAACCGCATAGTATAGAAAAAGCAGGCTGTGCAACTTGAGTCAGGAGGCAGAACTTCGGTTGACACGCCAGACATCTCTTCGCAGAGCTATTAGTGCTCCAACGGAACAAGAGGACACCATGAACTTGAGAGGACGTCGCTCACACAATGAAAACAACGTCCGGATGCCTTTTACAAGACACGCTTTTTGAAACAGAACTGCACAGAAATGCACACATAACAAATTCGGCTTAGGGTTAGGGGTTTAATATTGCAAACTATTAGGGTTAGGGTTATCAGCCCTAGTTCCCCTAACCCTAAGGTTGGGGGCGCCATATATTCTGCCGCTCTGATCACCTCGTTGCCTTCCCTAGCACAGATTGTGTCCTAGCGGAGGGGGTACAAAAACCAACGAACCGTTGGGAGCCGACAAAGGTATTGTACAGCACAGGTTGCGAGCCCTGCCTGCGAGGCGGTCCATCAGATTCTTGCATCGACGAGTCTGCTGAGCCAGCTGTATACGACGCGAGATATCTTCATGAAAAGGCAGAGGAATTTCTACGCCGTCACTACGCATGACCGGAGTTAGGAACCAAACACGACTACACGGCCGTAAATGAGCACAGGTTGCAATCCGTGCGTGTTTTGTGGTCCGGAACCTCTGCATGCACCGTCTGCGCCGAACAGCTGCATTGCGTCAGCGAACCAAAGGTTGTTGTTGCCCAGCGGAGAACAAGGTGTTTCTCTTCCTTTTGCGGCCTTCCTCTACGCTCAACATGCCCGGACACCCAACCGCTAGCAGGGCACGACTACCTCCTATCTTATGATATTGGCGCCACCTGCTGCCACTTCTTTTCTTTAGCGCCATTCGTGCTTCTTCACTGGAATTTCCATCGTTAACATCATCCGCGTTAGCGTGGTTGCATCTGACCGGAGCGTTCGTAGCGGAACTGAGATGAATTGCCGAGGGCTGCTAGGGTAGGACCAACATGCGGGCAAAAAGAGGAACAGGTGAACAAAGGCGTTCAACATCTTGGATTCTCACATGATCACCTGTTGTAGTGCCGACAAGACAGGATCCTCTGCTTGCAGCCGCCTATGGTCGAACGTGCTAGGCTTATGTTTGGCGGGGTTATGAAACGTGCAGCCTTGTAGTACTAGCCTGCTTATAGCGGAGGAGTCTGCATCCGTTGTAGATATCACAGGGCCGAGCAGGTGTGAAGTGTTCCGCTAGTGTTCAGGTAAGTGTAATGCAATCGACCGATGAACTGGCGTCGTAGTGGGGGACCGTGCATCACTTGGTACATAGATGCCATACCCGCACTGCTCGTCTGGAGGCAGCGAACAATGACCGCAGACGACATACGACGCTACACGCTTACAGTTGTCAGTGCTGCTGCAAAAGTGTTGATCCGGAAAAAAGCGGCAGTGGTTGTGTAGACAAGAGCAAGCAGTCCAGCATCTCAATTTCCTCGAGATACTGTCAAGTCCATACTATGTCATGATACAGGTTCTGTCCGATAGTGCCGGATCGTGACGTCTCACCTGTTGTGTACACGACCTGTCAGGAACGAAAGATCGTTCCACGTTCTCGGTGCAGCTCGAAACTCAAGCAGGCATCCGTATTCAGTAGACCATCCAAAGCGGAGCAGTCTACAAGCGCCAACTATCGAGCATCCAGCTCTGTCTTGTACCCGCATGTGAGGCCGCAGCGGAGATGAAACAAGCAGCTAACTGTTGAGCGAACGGCCTATCAAGGATACTAACATGTAATACGGGGTCATCCGGCAACACATAAGACAGCAAATTGACAGACTGACCTTGTCGTGTATCGTTGATCTCGCTCCGAAACAGCCATGTGTCTGCAGAGCTGCTTCCCAGTTTCCGATGGGCAGATTGAACGTAAGGTCCGATGGCTCGTGCATCAACTGACGTCGAACAAGCTGACCGGTTCTTGTTGTGTGGGAGGACTCCCATGTCTAGGTACTATGCATGATCGCTAAGGTCAGAACGAGCCCGACGACAAGCGAGTCTTGCTGTTTGGTCCATGGGTAGTCATCAATACTCTTGAGTGGAACTTGGTTGACGGAGTGGACACATAGAATGTGTGGAACGAGCAGAGATAGCACTGGTGATGGCCGGGACGATCACCGTGATGCAGGGCAGAGAGCAATGGATGTAGATCTGCCCTCCAGCACCGGGTTGGTTAGTTGGTGTGTAGGAGTTTCGGCTCCGGACTGACCCTGATGATCGAATCGAGCCTCGTAAACTCACAGCATGGCAGGTAGAGCAACCATGTACCGATATTCAATCTGTTATGCGCGTGAGGCCTCCTCCTGCGGTTTGAGTTGGGGATACCGTAGAACGATTGGGACGGTTGTATGCCTTCAGGTCGATCGCCAACACATCGGTGTCTCTCAAGGCGTTCTTGAAGACGAAGATTACACAGCAGTTCCATGGTATGCATATCAAAGTGGACATGCTGCCATCAACCCACCTGGATCTTGCAAGAGGTTCCCTTGCGGATTCATGGGGGTTTCCCTTGGGACGCCGGCGCCGTCTTACCCGCATCGAACGAGCTCATCGACAGGAGCACAGTGTCCGCAAATCATATTCTACACGGTTAGTGCAACGTCCGTGAGGAGTAGCTTTGCGTCTGTGGCTGAGGGCAGTCCGGAGTTGGCCCCTGAGCATCAGAACGAAGCTCTGCATCGACGTCGAATCGGCCAGGATCGACGTCGAAGCCAAATGAGCGTCAGCAGGGTCTTTTGCTCTTTCCGACCCGGCTAGTTGCCGCAGAGCCTCACGCATTGCTGAGTATAGAAGCAACGCGTGATCGACGATGTGGCTGCCACAATCTCCGATTTGCCAATCGAATCGGCTACGAGAATTACGATTTGAATGCCATGTGAAACCCCTGCAAGTGCGGGAAAACGCCATTACTCCTGAGGATGCGGGTCTGGACTTGTAGGCTGCTTAGCGACGCGGCTCGGAGCGCTTGATGGTTAGTTGTTATGCGTCGTGCCACAACACACACCGTCCACCACCGCCCGAGCGCAAAGAGAGCGTCGACCGGTACGCACCGTTTGCTAGTCTCGACTGTGACCTGCTCGGTCGCCACCACGACGGTGTTCAACTCCGCCGCGCCTGAAAGAAAGCATTGGGTGCGTTTGCTGCCGCTGTGTGCTTCACATATACACACAACGCGGTCCAAGCACTGCGGCGCACTGCATTAGACCCGAGGGCGGCGGCACCAATGCATCAAATCATACGACCGCTGTCGTTTTGGGTAGCAATAAATACACACAAAAATGGCGGCGGGAGTGATTTGCATCTTCGATTTGGGGTGCTTGTTCGGTTGGTCCTGCGGTGGTCTGAACGTTCTCGGCACTGTCCGCGACTGTTCTAGCCTTTGGCGTCGCACATGTCGTCAGTCTCAGTGCACCCGATCTTCACGACCGCAAGGACAGTCGTCGAGATCGCGGGAAGTCCACCGCGCAAAAATCACCCATACAATGGCGCCGTGGACCGACTCCGCGAGGCCATTGCCATCTGAATCGGCCGCTGACCGCGCTTTGTGCCTGCCCCTGCAAGCTTCTTTCCCATCTGCATCGGTCTTTACACCACGCATCGAAACCCTCACAAGTTCCTGCGTGCTTCACAAGCTCTAGCCTTACCCTCATCCACGGACTAGAAAGGTCCCACGGTCGTCCAGCCCCATGCGTGCTTCGATTGGCCCCGTGTAGGGCGATGCTCTTCCTGACATGCCGGACGCTCGCCATCTCTCCTCAAGCATCCCGTCTATCGATTCTGACACCTGCCACACCAACGCTGTAGTGCCGCATCTGACCTACTCGTCCTGGCTACTCGCAACCCCCTCCTCACCCACTCCCATCTACTCCGCTTCCCTATTCTATCAGCAACATCCGCCTTGATTGAACAAGAGAGCACAGCGCTCCAACTTCTCCGAAGAGCCCACTTTCTGACCCAAAAGCACTTCTTAACCCCGCCAGACACACCGGAACTGGTTCCGTGACTGTTCCCGGATAGACCAGTATCCCGAATCGACCTATACCAACCACATGACGCCGACAACATATTCTCCTTCTCCTCCCAAGATGGACGTCGGTGCCACCGAGCAGCTGCGGCCGCCTCATCCTCGACGACCTCCGGCCCGCATGTCTGTGTCGTTGCTGCATTCTCCGAGGCCAGCCATGTCGAAGAGATTCGACAGCAAGAACACCAACCCGTCACCTAAGCAGGAAGCACGGAGCGACGGAAGCTCGCCTTCAAGTCTCAAACCCGCACTCGGCAAAGACGATTCCGGAGAGAGCAGCAACGCAGACAAGTGGTTCGAAAAATCCAACAACGAAGTCTCCCAGAGCAGCACAGGCTTCGTCGACAGTGAGTGATGCACGTGCATGCGCAATATATAGGTCTGGCGTGCTGACGATTGCAGCATCCCCTCCATTCTTCCTCCAGAATTCTTCATCCTCCGAAACAACGCCCCCAGACGGGCAATTGAATCGAAACAATCTCTTGCTTGCTGCCGCATCAGCAGGGTCGCTTCCACAAAGAGCTGGCCTCCTTAACATAGGAACGGACGGAAGCAACAGCGACGACTTCCGCAGCGTCATCGACGATCTGACGATCGAAAACAAAAACTCAAGAGACGACTGAAGAAGTACGAGAAACTACATGACGGCCACCTCAAAGATGAGAAACTCTTCGAAGTACGCGTCCATGGA